ATATATTCTTTAACTCTAGTCAAGATTTCGCGGGATGACTCTCCAATATAGTAGGCATCACAATCGATACAACCTAATTTGTAGACGCAGTTCTGTGTGGACATGAAAGGGATTTTGTCTTTCAGGCGAACTAAAGTATTACGTAGTGTGTCAGTTGTTTTGTAATACACTTTGATTTTGTGATGTTTTAAGATTCTTTGAATTTCTTCTGTTGTGACATGACGGTATGGTAGAACTACAGTACCAATCCATGGCATTTCATTCGAATCATTATTAGAATGTAATAAACTGTTTTGTTTTAATATGCTTCTAATAATCTTCATAGGAAAATTATTAAATTGTAAGATGCTAACTATATTCGTTTGTTCTTTTTGTTTGTCTTCCTCTGATGTGATGATCTTGTTAGCTCTTCTAAAAAGATTTAAGGCTAGAGATATCTTTGCAGTGAAAGGATGTGCTGAATGTAAGTCAATATAACGATTTGAATGTGTCGGTTTTCGGTAAATGGAAAGGTTGAGACTTCCATTTGTATTTCTTTTTACTAAGCAATCCAAGAATGGTAGCTCACCATGTACATTTTCATTTTCATTCGTGAATTTGATGTGCGATGAAAGTGTATTTATTCGTTTTGAAAAAGATCTTAGATGAGTCTTTTTATAATAACAAATGTATCATCTACATATCTAAGCCAAATTCGTGGTATAATGTTGTGGGCGAAGATATTTGATTCTATGTATGCCATAAAAAGGTTGGCTACAATCGGGGACATGGGAGATCCCATCGCTACACCGTTAGTTTGTTTAAATAACATACCGTTGAAAGTAAATAGCGTTGAATTTAAGCACAGTTTTAAGGATTTCATGATTAGACTGATGCTCAACGGACATCTGTCAAGAAGAGTATTGTCGTTCTCAAGTAAACTACTAAAGAATTCTAAGCATTTATCAATAGGAACACTTGTGTATAAAGAAACGACATCAAAGCTTACCATAATTTCATTTTCTCGATGATTATTCGGGATAATTTTGATTTAAAGTTATGTGTGTCTTTAATTATATTATGTAAGTTGAGTTGTAGTGGTTTTAATATGTTGCTTAAATATTTTGATAATGCATATGTTGGGGTATTTGTGAAGTCTACTATCGGTCTTAGAGGAATATCTGGTTTATGAATTTTTGGTAAGCCATAAAACCGTGAGACATTACACGATTTGGGATGCAACGCAAACCAAAGTGAGACCCCAATGAATGGTTTTAGCTCGTTCAGAAGTTGATTTGTTTCTAATTTGACTTTGTTCTTAATCGTTCGAGAAGTTTTTGGATTGATCTTTTCATACGGTCCTGTTGAGAGATGTTCAAGAGCTTTATTAATATAATCTGTTTTATTCATGATTACTGTTGTGTTGCCTTTGTCGGCTTTTGTGATGATAATCGTTTTGTCGTTTTTAAGTGAATGCAGAGCCTTCACTTCTTCTTTTGAAATGTTTGGCGTAATGTGTTTTTGTTTAGCCAGAATATGAGATGTCTTTTGACGTAGTAAATGTGACTCTTTTTCCGGTAGTTGTGCGATCATTGGTTCTATAATTGGAGCAATTTCAAGTGTGCTAAGTGGTTTTCTGTGTAAATTGAAATTTAATCCCTTCTCTAGTAGAGTGATTTCGTGACTGTTTAAGTTTCTGTTAGAAAGATTATGAACAGTTCTTCTTAGATCATTCGAATTGTATTTTAATGTTGATGTTTTCGTATCTTTCTTCTTTTCTTTGATGTTTTCGAATTTTTTAATTTGTCGGTGTTTCGATGAATTTAAATAGTGGCGTTCTCTTTCTATAAACAGGTTGGATATCGTGGTTTGTAATTCGGTCGGGATTTAAAGCTTCAGTAAATCATCAAGGTTTTTGATTCGTTCACGATATTTTTCCAATTTTGTACTCATTGGGATATTACAAATATATTATTTTTATTTATACTCTGTTTATGTACTAATCAAACAAACCACATCGTACCATAAAATAGAAAACAACATTTACACAATATTAAACACGTAAAATAAATATCGACCAATAGGGAATGTTCATTTAATGTTCAAGGACACCATTAGAATTAACACGATAATTATTGCTATATTCCTCTGCATCCCTAACACACCCAGAGTGGATTGAGGATCGTTTTGCTCCGAACTTTTACAATTTTAAAACCCTTAGGAACGAGGTTTCGTTCACCGTTTCGGCGACGCTCATTTATTTCCGCTTCTGCAGCACGTTTCTTAATACGATCAGCTAGGCTGCGATCCTCACGAACATATATTGCCGCAGCCTTTTTCTTCCCATTTCTTTTTCTCCTTACTGAAGTCCATTTGTCACCATTCAGGACAGCTACACCTGAACTACGTGGAACGGTGACAGTTTTATCCGGATCTTCTATTTTGACTAGAGGTGTATGACTCCCGATGTCAATACCATTCCTCGTTAATGTTAACAGAGATTTCACGTTCTCGTCAACCACAGTCAGGTGTTTAACGGGTCCAGTAGCAGTACTTACTACACTGACACATTCTTCACCGTCAGTGCTCTTGTTATTGGTGCTTCCGCCATCGTTTTTCTTGCAGGTCAAAGCCAATAGATCCACAGCCACCTTTTTATCCGTACAGCAGAACATACAAAGCCAGTGCGAGTTAGGCTTCCAGCATCTTTTGTAAGCCGTCGGACTTAGGCGTGTACACATTTCGTGGTACCACTTTTTACAATCGTCACACTACATTCCCTACTCAACGGGGAACAAACAATTTGGTTGCCCACATTTATGAGTCTCACCAACAATTGTACTTCGATTTAAAAGGTCTAAAAACAAAAATTAATCACAATGTGATCACAAGGGTAAGTCAAGGAGTAAAAAAGGTACCCAGGACAAAACTTAGCAAAAAATTTCAAACTTTAACCAAAGTACTTTTAATTAAAGTAGACTAAGAATGCTTTTTGGTACGATAAGTACACAAAGCAAGTACAATCACCACAAGTACAAAAATCACTGCCCTTTTTGAAACGAGCGCAGTAGCGATGCCTTTGACTGACTAGTTACGAATTAGCCACAATAATTCTCGCTATAAGTATCTCTGGACTTTGCTCAACCACCATCTACTTATCGCAACGCAATCTCCATAAAGCTCGGAAACCTTTATACTGAACATTTAAGTGATATTAACATTAATAATCTAACGTAGGAAAATGTACCCTCTGCTTCTATGACCAATCTTTCTTACGACGTCAACCTAACTGAGTAAATTACTACATCAAAGGCTTCAGCATTAGCAAAGTCTACTGTTCTATCCTTTGCACATGATATAAAGATTTGGAAACCATAAATAATATGTCATATGGCATGATAATATAGTGTAGCGGTAAATAAACCCCTAAAATAAATAGCTCTGTAAATCTTCATCATTGGATGCTGACCACATTAGTTTTAATGCAAGTCGCACCAAATCACGAGTGTGAACGTCGTGCTCAACATCAGCTGCAATCGCTAGCCAATCTCGATCAGTTGATCCTCTATATATTGATAGCCTATCAAATATATCTTCGAACCTCATCGCTTCTGACTTTTGGTTTCACTTGGTAGGTTCAATTCATAGTAGAAAATGGTACTACTTAAAGCGTTGTCAAATTCCACATACCTGTGACATCTTCAATAGGATGACTATTGATAATTAACTCTAACGAGTGTGGTGATCCAAATAAATAAATGGGACGATTCATATCACTACATAATATGTGGAGCTGTGTTACCTAAATTAATGTACCATAAAGATCTTTGATTCATAATAATTAACAATCTTAGAACCACGAGCAACTGTAATTCTTTCGCTTCCAAGGGTCTCGAGGTCATATAATTATTTGGATGAAGAAGCGTTTAAGGTATTAGACCGAACATTTTGGAGGCCGCATTTGGAACATGGGATCTATGCAGCAAATCCTTGCTACAGGTGTGGATCAGGTACATTGGAAGTAGTTTGACATTGATGGGCCAAATTAGTGAAAAGTCTCTCTGGCCTATCTTAAGAAGACAGATGCCTCAAACTATTTCTGTTATCTTGTCGAAAGTTACGCGGTGATTTAGTACCGACCTACGGCATGTCGAACGATAATTTTAATATTAGTATGCCTCATATTTTCTTCTCATTTTAAAGTGATCATCCAAAAGGAAATTCAACGAAAGTTTAATAACCGAGATCAAATCGTTTACGTTTGGATTGCCGTTTCTCCTATGGTCAGTCAGTCAGTCAGCTATAACATAGGACCAGGCACATATATGCATCAGTCCAAGTTGCCATAACTCATTAACACAACAAGATGAACATCGAATTCGTAGAAGTAGTTAATTCATTGGTGGTAATATATAAAGGAAAGACTGCATACAAAGACACAGTACAGAAAGAAAGCATTAGTTCATAGAAAGAATGATATGAAGCTATTTTAAAGTGATGGTTTAAGGGAAGACAGAGAGTGTATACACCGACGCCATTTTGATCGATTCTGAGCCATGTCACCCAGGGCCTCTAACCATTGGTTATAATAGCCACACGGACCCCAATCAAGTAGTCTGTATCTCCCAGCATGGCTCAGACTAGAAGTTAGTGACTTCAAGCACTACTACGGAGTAGTAAATTGTGGAATTCTCTACCAGAACACATAATATTGACACCTATTGATGCATAAGAAGTGAGATTAAATCTTTTCAGTACTACAGGCTGCGAGAATCGATGTGGGTCGACTGACCTCACATCTTAACCAATGAAGACTGAAAACTGGATAGGTAATAGAAGTTGTGGTAATTATTTTTCCGAAAGGCCATGTTATTTACGCAGTGTGTTCATACAGAATAGATTATAACGTAATGTCTGACGCTCAAACGTCTGCAAAGAAAAGTATTTGGTATCTAACAAAACACATGATCGTGAACTACGTTGTTAGTTTTAAATGACAACTTTAATCAAGTGTTGGATTCATGACAGATGGCGGTGGATTTAAAGCCGCTTTGAAACTTAATCGGTAATCGTTATTGTATATTTAAAAACTTTTTATCTCCTGAAACTTTTAAATCAAATCCCTGCACCAGAAGGGCAATGAATATTTTTGCTTTACGAAGACTCCTTACCGCTAATATAATTGGTTTCACGGAATTGATTGGTAGTATTTTTAAAAGACGAACTGTTAATCATACAACTTGACATTATTTCCTAAAGGAGCTTTTTCCTTCACAAAATCACCTCTGCAACTAATAATAAATCTAAGAAGGTGCCACTTTTGTCAATTTTGTTAGTTCTTACCTCATGTATTTGTAAACTAGCATCGGTCCAAGAGTAAAGATAAATGCTCTTTTAACCAGTTCCTGTTCTCTTAATATGAAATCTTTGGGAAAATTATGACATTCTTGAAAATGTTAGGTGAAGTACTGGTGTTTACTAAGTTGGCGGACAATTCATGCAGTTTATCGTGAGTTATAGGGAATGAATGATCGATTTTCGTTAGCAATTAGAGAATTTCCGCATACGACTAATGTTAAAAAGAATGAAAACTGTTATAATAGCAATTAAAATTGTCGTTCAATACTTAAAACGATGATATTAAAGAGTTTCATGACGGCAATATATCACATTATTAAAGGCCCCACTACCCACAAAAGGAAATTTCCTTTTGTGGTTATATTAATATGTTTGATATAATCGAACCTAACAACGCTTATGCTATATGCCTTAAATTATATGTTTTTGCCTTAGAGATTTTTGAGATAAAAAACGTAGTCATCGTCTTTATGAATCAATGCGCCTGGTTGCATGGAGAGATGAACGAATATGATATTAACTCATGTTAATAATGGGGTACTAAGAAAAGGCGTATGCTCTTAGCCCTGTACCTTCATCTAGTTGTCTGTTGAAACTAACAAGGTTGAAGTATCAAAAAGGCAAAAGGGAGATGAGCGAGGCTGCTTTCAATCAGGTAACAGCGATGTACTCACAGAGACTGAGATTACCCTCAACTACCCTACAAGTTCTGTCATGTACCATGGTAGCAAAAATAGTCACATTAGATTGCCGTCCAAACATGGTATCACACCCTTCAATATCTAAAACTATAGTCCCTCACAACTTGTAAATTATTTAATCCTTACGATATTGACATTATATCTGTTTGGGAGATATACTGATTTTTGATGCTATTTACCGTAAATAAACCCAGTTTGTCACTAACACTGAGTCATAAAACTTCGGAAAACCAACTTTCTAATCCACTGAAAAAACACAGATATATCTTTTTTATTATAAACCACTTGGGCTATGTCATCAAAATATATTTTTGTATTCCAGGGATAAATTCTAAATGGTTTTATTTTCACCTAACTAGTCAATCATAGGCAACGTAGGGACCGGTTCATATATATATCATCTAAAATAAGTACATAGGGTAGATATTAGCTGGCTGATAGACTAAGAAGAAACAGAGAGACATATATGGAAATCCATGGCCCAAAAATAATAAGATCAGAGACCGAAAAGTAGTGATTAAAACTGAAATCGACATTTAGATGTACATGGATAACTGATTCAAATGAGCTGTTGCTACTGATTTTGGCCTTAGCCGCCGATTATGCGTTCTATGTGTATAATACCAGTATTAATATGCACTAAATATATAGCTTTGAGTATCCCAAAAACTTGGAAAACAAATACGTAGGTTCAAAAAATTCTAGATATAACAGTGATCCATGTATGCGTAGCATTTCAAAGTTTACTGTAAATAAGAAAATTATGGTAACATAAAGTATGAAACAAAATGCGAAAAATCTTTAAAAAACTGAGAAATAACATTATAACACATCAAAGTGTATGATTGAACTACTAAAAACAGTTTCACCAACAGTACTTAACTGTTGATATTTTTATGTGACATTAACTCTAATAATAGATATGTCTCATTCCTAGTAGTTGAGTTGGTAAACACATATATTTAAAATGCATTTGCTAGTTTGCTAAAAATATTTGATATATATCTTCTGATTTATAACTCACAGCGTTCGGTTACTTTGTATCTAGTTTAAAAGTGACTCATATTTCCAAAACTATGACTTTAGAATGCCAGATTAGCTACTTACGCACTGATCTCCTGATAATGGAATTTCAAAAGACCCATAAACAGCATTGTGTGCACAGCTGTGTTTGAAGTTCTAAGTTAATAATTTGTAAACATGGTTCTTCATAAAACTAAAACCTCATCAGTTTTTAACGGTTTTTAGTCTGTTTAGTAATGTGATTAAACTTATTCTTCTCTGACATCTAAAATAATGTTTTCATATTCTCATAATTTGTGTGTAAGGGTAAAGATGTTAATTCATGAGTTTTAACAGAGTAATACCATATAGTGTGGTTATAATTTTGTTGTTCTGTACTGATGAGTAGAAACAAGCTTAGCTTTGCTAGTTGAACCGACTGGTAAAAGATGATAAAAAATTTTATTTCCAAGAACAAACTTATAGCAGCTGAGCAATCTAAGATTTGGATTGAATTATTATCAGTCAAAACGTTTATCGTCTCAATATACGTGTAGATGCTTTCATGAGTTGCATTCTTCTTATCTTCATAGTCAGTCTAATTTTCTGAAATCGTCTGTCCAAATTACTTCAAACTTCTATAACATGAACACTGCAACTTATTTCATTTACTACTGAATTAAGGTGATGACAATATGAAAATGAGGAACTAAAGCTCATTGTGTGTAAGTAGATTATGTTTTGATTTATTAAAAATCAAATTCCTTTGGCTGAAAATCGCTGATAGTTGATACTATCCTTGTGACACTCAGAATCATTTTTTTAGATTTTAAGCATGAAACTACCAAAGTCGTAGTTTATCACGTAATCTGTTCCTTACCCAAAGATCACGAAGAATGAATTGTTTACTTATGTGATTTTACCTTTTCTAATTTGATCTTATTTCAGACAGTATCATACACAGAAGTCTCCTGATATGAAGGTTCGTTGATCATGGTCATAATTGATAAGTAGATTAGTTACTGAAATAGGATGATTTATATTTTTTCATTCAAAAATGGTCGTGCTAAGATGTAACTAATATCAATTATTCCCTTTCAGGAGATATTTAAGTTTGAAATTGAAAAAAAGTTATTATGAAGTCATTATATTGATGGGTTATTGAGTAACTATCCTGTTGTTTAAGATTTCATCTGTTTTTTGAACCTTTACAGAAACTCGAACAAATTATTTCTGAATAACTACCTTCCTAAACTGTAAAGTGCTACTGAACAATTATAAACTTATAAGGTGATCCATCAGATACCTTTTATTTATAATGAATATCACGAGGTATTCAAATTTTAGTACAGAATTTGCTTTAAATGAATATCTAGGGTAATGGTTAAACGGTGATTGATAAGAGTTACAAAGATTTTAAAACATCTAAAACGCAACACATTTGAAGACATGTGGTCAAGCCTAGTAACGGCTGTCATGATCAGACATTACTTTGTTCCAGATCTTTGAACATAAACAAATGTTGATACTGAGTAATTTATATTCTGATCTCTTCACTACACACTATCTGCAATTTTCGACTACATGTTCAGTTCAACTTTTTATCTCATAAAATAGCTCGCATACACGAATGTGACTAACAGACAGTTTTACTACTTATCAATCTTAAAATTAGTATGCTGTGAAAGCAAGAAATTCTAAGATGACTGCATTTATCGATAGCATATTCTGTCTTGGGGATTGTAGAAGATAAAGATATTTCTAAATTAAGTGCGCTTGATTAGACGTTTATCCAACATAGAGCTTTTAAGTACTACAACCACCGAGTAGTCGAATGTTGTGTATAGGATAAGTTTTCAAACATGAACAAACTATCATTTAGTGAGGCTATGAGAATATATTGACATGTGGGGCTTGATTCATCAAACGATTGACTCTAGATATCATTTATGTATATCCTGCTTCAGATGTTATTTTCTTACACGCTTGTTTAGCGACTTGTTTTATAATAGGCTTGTAATTTATTTATTTCACAGATATTTTTTATAAACCAGATATGCTTCAACCAAACCCAATATTATGACATGTTCTAATCAGCATTTTAAATGTAACATTATCTCGATCCAAATTTGAGGCTAATAGCACTGTAAGCTTGGATTATAGTAATCATTGTTTTGAAATCGACAAAAATACTATCTTTCATTTTGATAATAACAAAGAATACTGTTCATCATTGGTTATTATATTTCCAACCAAGTATTATGCTTGCTGCACTTGTGAATTACACAATGAAACTATATCACAATGGATAGTTTTACGTCAGAGACTGAAGCAGATTTAGTAGCATCAAGCGGATCAGCTTCGGAAGAGGATGTTAAACAAGCATCAAGTTATAAGTAAGCTTGATTTTATTTTTCATTTTTAATGATATTTTAAATTTAAAGTTATTTGACGACTAATTTTCAGCTCCGTTTTGTATTGTTGTGCCATTATATTCACTTAAGTAAACTAAACTTGGTTTGAATCATGAGTGTTGCGAATTAAACTGAACTCAATAATCAATTACGTGAAGGTGTTTACTGTTAGTTTTAGCCAAATCTTACAGATTAAATTACTTTTCTAAAAAATTTGATCGACAAAAATGATAGTTGAATATTATTCACTGAGCTCAGATTACCGGTTAGGGATGTTTCATCGCCAAACACTACATCTTCATCAACTTTGGTCTCACAAACTTGTTAAACTTTTACTTTCAATCGTAAAAACAGTCTTATAGTTTATTAGAAACCCCTGATTATATCACGTAATCTATCTAAAACTTATGACATGGTTAAAGATTTTTAGTTGGACTTGAGTCGGAAAGTAATCAAAATAGTTCAACAAACATTATATTACTTACTTTCTTACTCCTGTTAACCCTCGTATCCTAGGCAGTCCATTTCAGTTACTATTCATCTTTTTGATGTCTGCCTCCGATTCCCGGAGCAATTTTTTCCGTTTTCCTTCGAAATTCCGAATCAGATCTCACCTCGTGATGCACTTTGTTGGTTTTCTCAATGCATGTCCCACCCCTCACCTAACCCGACTTTTCCTAATTTCCTCTTCAAATGGAAGCTGGTTTGTTCCCTCCCACATTAGGCTGTTGTTGATGGTATCCGGTCAACGGACACTGAGTATCTTGTGTAGACAAATATTGATAAATAACTACACATTTTTGATGATGGTCGTGGTAGTTCTCCAAGTTTCAGCTCTGTACAGTAGAACTGTCTTGACGTTCGTATTGAAAATTCTAACTTTGACATTGTTTAACAGTTGTTTTGAATTCCATAGGTTGTTCGACTGTAGGGATGCTGCCCTCCCTTTGCCAATCATAGGGTCCACATTTGATTCAGATCCTCCTCGTTCGTCAATGAGGCTGACCAGGTATGTGAAAGTTTCCACCTGTTTCTAGAGCTCCTTCATCACCCATGCGATGAAAAGGCAATGAGTAGGACTTCCCTGGCAGTAGTTGTATGCACGTAGTTATATGAGAACATTTTGGAGAGAGACAGAGAGTTGACTCTCCCCACTCTAGGCCGTACCGGGGCATTTGAAATTACAAAGCATCATCAAATCTTGAATATTGTCAATTCACTAATGAATTACAAGAATTTGTTTTATTATATTTCTTTTTATAAAAAAATTCACCTAATTAATTCTATTTGAATTGGATATACAATAATCTAGGCATAAAAAGAATATTTACAAAAATAGCAACTTAATAATTGGGATTAATTTGATCTTAATAAATATGTTAAATAGTGAAGATTATTTTATTTTACTTCTATTAAGAGATACTCAAAATAAAGTAGATCTCAGAGTAATTTATTTATCTTTTATTCATATAGTTTAGAAAACCTGTACTTATAATAAACAACATGAGAAGAGAAAAATTTTTACCATGAAAATCAATAAAAATAATAACTGTCAATAATCATTGGTATTATCTACCTTTAGTGTTATGATCATTAAATTTAATGATATGTAATATTAATGTAATCTTTTCCAACAAACCATATGAAATCTATCGAGATTTGAGTATTTAGACTACGGAGCCGACATTCCACAGTGTTAATGTTTAACTTCAACCAATCGGTCAAATTGCGCCACCGTCCACCGTTCCATTATTAAAATATTATAATCTCCACAAAACTTCTCTCTGATTATTATCATAATCTATTCACTAGTGACTGTCTCTAAGAGTTATTTTCTGGAGTTCTAGTGAGAAGCAGTGATTAGTGGAGTTCAACCTGGTCTGTTGTGATATAGTAACGATGGCGTAACTTCGTGGATTGGTTGAAGTTAGGCATTGACACCGTTGGATGCCGGATCAATGGTCTAGAGGTTAAGTGTTCGCCAGCGGGACTAATATGTCCTGGGTTCGAATCTCACGAGACGGGATCGTGGATGCGTGCTAATTAGGAGTTCCATACTAAAATGAAACGGCCGTCCAGTACTTTCAGGTTTTCCATGATGGTCTAGCTTCAACTGACTCATGAATTCAATTATTAAATTACCACAATCTCCTCAAAACTCCTCTCTGATTTGAGTATTTCTTAACTTCGTTTTTTAATATTCGATTTACTGAATGAATGTATGTGTCATTCATCAAGAGTTAACCTTTTTTAAATAAGAGAATCATTCAAAAAGCAGTAAAGTAAAAAGAAACTCCACTATTTACCAAAAAGATGAATGCTTAATTGCACTAGCCACATAGAAATTCTCTCAGTATAAACTAATCTTTTTTTATTAATGAATTTCAATATATGATCAAAATGTACGCATAGTCTTCAAACTTATTTGATATGACAGGATAAAAGTGGTATTATTTCAGATCATTATTTTTTTGAGTCAATTAAATATGAATAAAAATAAAGAGAATTTTGCGCGACGGGAAATTTTTTCTTTACGACAAAATCATTTACTTAAGCTGTATATTCGTATTTATAGTTGAAGAGTGCAAGATGATTAAGAGAACTATGGGTATTTTTACTTACTTCCTTACGCTTGTTACTCCTCGTGGAGGAGCATAGGCCGAACATCAGCACTCGCCATCCAACCCTGTCTTGGGCAATCCTTTCCAGTTCTTCCCAGTTGTCATTCATCCTGTTCATATCTGCTTCTATTTTCTGACGTAATGTGTTCTTCAGCCTTCCTATTTTTCGCTTACCTTCAGGATTCCAAGTCGGGACTTACCTCGTGATGCAATTTGATGATTTGTGTTATGTATGTCCTATCCTTTTCCAACATCCTTTCCTAATTTTCTCTTCAGCTGGAAGTTGGTTTTTAGTTGTTTGATAAATATATAAATCTATAGAAAAATAGAAAAGTAATTTGAGATTTCATATATCAAAAGAGGTTGCGTAATAATCAAAGGGTTACAAAAGAATACGAGAATGAACATAATTTACAGGTTAGAGTTATGCAAGATAACCATTCACTTGACAAATCTGAAGAAAAATGAAAAAGAAACTTAAAGGTTATGATAAAAATTGAATAATAATATTAATCATGAAATCTCAAATCATATAATGATGCAATTATTTTCATCTTTTTTTATCGACTTATACATTTATCAAGCAACTATAAATATGAATGTCCAGCTTAAGTAAATGATTTCATTGAAAAGAAAAACAAATTTCTCATCGCATTGAATTCACTTTATTTTTATTCAATAACACAATGTGAATTACATCTAGTATGACAATTTTAATCTTTGTAATCAGTATGATTATTTTATTCTCTGTATCGATTCAGATGAACTGCATTCAGTGTTCTGTTATTGTGTGTGGAAATTGATATATAAATAACAGTATTTTAATCTAATGATAATATGTTTTGAAGAAACAATAAGTTTTCTGCGTTCTTACATATTAAGTTTTGAGAATTACAGTGGTTCCGAATTTCAATTATAAGAAAGTTGAGTAAACGCACAACTATACCAGGTTTTACGTCGATGATATCTATGTATATGTTCAGTATAAACAGTAGGACTATGGACATAGTATTATTCTTTTTGTTTTGTAACATATATATGGAGGATGTTGATAGATTTCACTTCAAGACAAAAAGGTACTCTTAATTGAATCATATTTGTTGGACGTTTCTTGTACTGGTAATCAGTAGAAACATATCACCTCTTCCAAATCACAGATATACTCAGTAAAAAACTTAAGACAATGATCTTCACATATCTAATAAGTATTTGGTCAAAATCACTTACCAGTAATACAAGTAAACAATACCAATTACATTAATTTATGTTTATTTGTTGTTGTTGTGTTGTAATAATTTTTATTATTCAGACTTAAATTTGAAATGTTATTATAATTATGTTTGGATGAAATGTAATTTTTCGACTATGTTGTTTCCTAATAATTTAGAAGTACTTCCACATTAAAAGGTTGGTTTCAAGGTCATTCGTTTGTGAAAAAGAATCTACATAAACCTGCTACATGTCATCATTGCTCAGATCTTTTGTGGGGAATATTAGGAACAACTGGAATGGTTTGTGAAGGTCAGTCGATTGTATGATAGCTTCTATCTCTTTTTTATTAATCTACTTTATTCTTTTATTTTTTCACTATGAAATGAGTTCAATAGTCTTATTTGGTTTACTATTGTTAGTTACTTCACAATGCGACTGTAGTTTACTCTCTAATTACCGATGTAAACAGATGTTTATTACGAAGTTCTTGAGTTTATTTAATGATTTCATGGAGTTCGATATTAATAATAAATCAAGGAAAACAAATATTTGTTTTGATTAGTTGTCTTTTCAATGTTACTATTAGATTTTTTAAAAACTTTTAGACTCTTCAGAAATCTTGAATTGATAATAGTTTGATCAATTCTCAGCTATTGATTATAATGTCATGTAGAAAATCATGTTCACAGTCCTAATCTTCATCTACCAAAATGCCTCTAGTAATCAAAACAACTCGAATTTATAACTGCTTCAAAGCTAAATCAAATGATAATACGTTTCACACGAAATGGGTGACATGAATATCAGATATCTAAGTTATTTTAATATAGCTAGGGTAACCAGTTGTTGATATGTAAATGTCCTTTTCATACTGTGGATGTCATTTAGAAATTCATCTCAATCTTTTACTGTCACTAATGTTTTGAAATTTATTTACATTTATTGATTATGGAGATTAGTTCAATCATGAGAAACTTTTCGTCATAAAAACACTGAGTTTGAAGAACCATTGACAGTCATACTCAACTAGATAACTGTTTCATCCTAGTTTGGAAATTTTATCAGCCGCAACCCGAACAGGTAACAAATTCAGAATCTTTAAGTCTTATGGCCAACACGGTAAACTAAGAAGTACCAAATATATAGTTGGGTACATTAGTTTAAGGATGAAACTTCTTTCATCTCTAATCTAAAGTACAACTTTTATCTTCAACAATGAGTATACAGTAAAGTTGTCAACCTTTCACTTTTGAATTATTTCGACATTTTGATATTTTATGTGACATACTGACAATTGTGACATAAAATACTGATAATCACTGGACAGTGTTCTGTCTGGCCAATAAAAACCTCCAGTATTGGTGGATGTGGAGATTGTTGAATATTATCGGGATCACAAACCGATGTAGTCAGGATCAAATAGTGATTAGGGTTTTTCCGTGAGAATGAAGATTCTAGTTTTGATCTCCAGTCGCTTGGTCGTGGATGAGGACTGCTGAGTACTCCCATAACAGGATGAAGCGATTATCTAGTGGTTTCAATTTTTCAGTGGTTTACTAACTCAGATCGGTTAATCATTCCAAAAATAACTCATTTCAATTGTTATTGAAGCTGTTAGGTTAACTGTATATATCCTATTTAACCTATACTTAATGATTGATATATGTAGATGATTTAATTATCTCATATTTCAATAGTGAAGAGCTTAGGTTTCCAAGAAAAAGCATACTTTCAGATGACTTGATTATTTATCCAAAGTTCATCTCAAAATAAGGGAGTATGATGAACACTTGTTTTAATCTTAATTACTTACTTACGCCTGTTACTCCTGATGGAGAATAGGGCGCCGACCAGCATTCTCCAATCCACTCTGTCATGTGTCTTCTTTTCTAGTTCCATCCGATTCTTGTTCATTTTCCTCATGTCTGTCTCCCTTTCCCGGCGTAATGTGTTCTTTGGCCTTGAAGATTCCATGTGAGAGCTTGTCTTGTGACGCAGTTGAGTGGTTTCCTCAATATGTTTCCTATCCACTTCCAGCGCTTCTTCCTGATTTCTTCCTCCACTGCAATCTGGTTTGTTTTTTCCCACAGTTGAATGTTGCTAATAGTGTCTGGCCAACAGATCCGAAGTATTTTGCATAGACAACTGTTAATAAACACCTGTATTTTCTGGATGATGGCTTTCGTAGTTCTCCAGATTTTCGCCACATACAGTAGAACTGTCTTGACATTTGTATTGAAAATCCTGACCTTGGTGTTGGTTGACAGTTGATTTGAGTTCCAGATGTTCCTCAGTTGTAAATATGCTGCTCTTGCTTTACCGACCCGCGCTTTTGGTTTAATCTAATCATAATATTTTCTTTAATTAAATCATCTTATTGTATAATAGATATTATCACATTTTAACTTTCCTACTGTCGAAAACATTCTGTTAGTTAGTTAATTAAATATATCAAAAGTATACGACTCAATGCGCTTGATGTTTATTATCTTTAAGAATACAATATTATTATTAATAATAATATTAGTAGTAGTGATAGTGGTTGTAATTATTTTTTTTTAAGCATAGTAAGACTGTTTTTATCATATTCCTGTAATATATATTTTCTCTGTTCCTCTTTTTCCAAAAAAACAAAAAACAAACAACGAACAGTTTGTAATTTTCTAGCCCATGAAAAGTGTATGCGTGCAGTTGTGACAGCTTGTACTTGTATTGCACCATTTTTAACCAAGGTTAGTAATCATTTATTTGTATTAATTTTCTAAATTTTTCTGTTTGTTTTTTTCGTATGCAGAAATTATGGAGATTTTAATAAATAGGCTCATGGTTTTAAGATTCATTTATTATTTTTTTTGTTGTTGCTGAATGTATGATAATAAGCATACCAATTTGTAATTCGTTGGTATAGATGATGTTACCATTATCAATACATCAATGTAATTTGGAACATTGACTAATTGTTAAAACACTCGAGTTTTAATTAGCTATTACAGGTTGTGAATACATTTTTTTTATCAACTAGTCTCTAATTAAACTAAATAGAAACCGGGGAGTTACTAGATCAGAATACATATCCGTTTTTTTTCGTTATCTGCAACTGTTAGTTGCTGTGGTTATTTGCTCATCAGTTGCATTTCGGATCATGGTATTCATGTATTCATTAGCCTTTAATAACTATTTATTGGAGAATTTATTGATAGGAATTTTAAATAAAAATAATATGTTATACTCAAAAAGGGTTTACTTGAAATACAGTGCAATAAGTCAACCGTAAGCAAAGTAGAACTTGGTGTACATGTGCATTGATTCAGATCTCCATACTGTCCCATTAAATCCCAGAGTTGCAGAAACAGTAACAATATCAGTGGTAGTATAAAAAAATCGGTCAAAACAATTTTAAATTTCACAGGTTGAAATCATGAGTCAGTTGAAGCTAAACCACCATTAAAATCCTGGAAGCACTGGACGGCCGTTTCGTCCTGGTATGGGACTCCTCAGCAGTGCGTATCCACGATCCCGCACCACACGGGGCTCGAACCTAGGACCTACTAGCTACGCGCGCGAGCACTTAAACACTAGACCACTGAGCCGGCATCCAACGGTGTTAATGTCTAACTTGAAAATAAAATGAATTCATGGAGTTGAAAGTTTAAGATAATTTTAGAACTCAAAATTCGAGAGAAGATAAAGAAAGAATGCATCTGGACTGCTATAACTGACTTAATGCCCTATCTCTTAATGTTTCCAACCATCGATCAGCAAATTTCGTTGATTAGTACACACAATAAATATGTAATCAGCGTACCATGAATAGTTATTCGTTTCAAGGTTAACTGTATTACAAAAATATAGATGCTAATATTACTTTATTCATATTGTGCCGGGTTAGGTGTACATTGTGACCAGAATGAGAAAAGATTTTCGATTACAGTTTAATGGCATGGTAATTGAGAAAGTCTAAAATTAGGTGTATCAATAAACTCAAACAGGATTCGAATATGGTAATATTGAAACTCTATTCATATTATACGGTTCATTACGCGGTTCATTATTGACACTTTACTACTTACATCAAAATTAAGATGCTGATTTTCTTTTAACAAACATTGTTTGACAAAATTACCTAGGTCCTGATATTTTTTCAACTAAACCTCATTTGTTTGTGCTTATAATGCAGTGGATGAGTCATTGGTGTTTGAAGTGAAATCCTTTGTATGAATATCAACACTTTGATCTGGTTGTATCCATCTGACGTGTCTCATCTAGGATTAAATGAACATTCTGGATTCAACTACTAGATACAATCTAACTCTGATACTAAATCTTATAGAAACATTGTCAAAAGCTTAAGAATGCGTTTGCTCATTTCTTTTTGTAAGTAGTTTTATAGCTTACATCACTAACTAGCTTTGGTTTGACAGTCATTCAAAACGAGGAGGCACCAAACAGATGGTCCCATCGAGTATGAAACGCCTTAACGACGCTCATCCATATCTCCACAAGGGATCATACCCAAGACTTTCAGGTTTCGCTGCTAACAATTACTCATTAAAACCATTCTGTTGGCATACTACGCTACACTTTCAACTCCAATCAATTTTCTAATGCAATTTGTTAATCATCAGCTAATCAAGTAACTTCTAACAAATAGATTCGTTCAACATCAATAATTAGACGAAATTAATTTAGAATGCTTAAGATAAATGTGAAGTAGAATGATCAAAGTGCATAATTAAACATGATCATATTTTGGTGTACAATATTTTCATTGGAATACACACCGTATGAATCATTACACTCTTGTAATCACAAAAGGGCGAGACTATAATTTATGGATGAATCAATCATGTATGAGATAGCAGGTCTCGGATTTTGACGCGAAATCCATTCATACATTTGAACAAACAGATTTTTGGCATTATAGCTTATGTCAGTTCGTGATGAAAACTCGAAATCTGTTTCCTAACCTTAATTATCAACCGTTAATCATAATTCTAATTCATCACACTGGTCTATAACCCTTATTTGGTCCTGGTTATTAGGTGAACACTCTCAAGGTCAATCTGGTGTCTCTCGAAGGTCGTCCATAAACTATAGTCTCAGTGCACAAAGTTATCCTTAGTAAGTAATCTTTAATGAACACAAATACTTTTAGAAATTCCCCTATCTAAAACATCGTCAACATTTTTGAGATGACTGATTGTTTTTCCCTTTCTCCTGTCTATTCTTTTAAATATATTGATCGCTAGGTTATCTGTCCACTAGTTTATTGTTAATCGTAACTATATGGATTATCTATATACCTAATTTGAATAAGCAACAAACGTATCGTAGTGAACAGAACACAAGTGGGGACAATCGAATGTATTTGACACGAAATTACAGGACTTGTTAATAAAATCTAACAATCATAAAATAAATGCTTAATTTGCAAAACGTCCACCAATTGTCTCAACATGACTCAGACTTCATTGTTCTTGCATTTCCATACAAGTTGCATACTGTTTCCATTCTTTGATGATCGATCCTCTTGTCTCTCTCCTGCCAGACCTTCTGTTCATAACTAACATCATATACTACTTATGTTAATATAAGTAGCACACACCACAGTATCTTTATCTGAAATAAAAAATGAAGTTAATAAGAAGAAATAAAAGAATCCTATGATTATCAGTATTTCCACCAGTTCAAGCTTTCTTTTCTTATGAACTTGTCGAAGAAAAAACTTTTTTTCCCCTAAAATATCGTTTTTACCTTTATACGTTTGTCTTTTTCTTTTCTTTTCTTTTTTGGTAAAAGGATCCTGTGCCTCATTGTTGGTCAGAAATTGGTCATTTTAAAAGGAAATTTTGTAATGTTTGCCGTAAACGTGTTGATGATTTATTGGCATTAAAATGTGAAAGTATGTTTTAATTTTATTTCTAGTATTTATTGAACTGGTAGTGAAGATGAGAGAGAGAGAAAACCAACATTATTTATTCATCCAATACATTCAGCTGACAAATCAAAAATAGGATGAAACTTATTTGATAGATTTCACTGTTAACTATTGTTATTACGTGGTTAATGCTCAGATTAAATGTAGGAGATGTGAGTAACAACACTAAATTGATTGAAAATGGCTGTGAATCTTTACTTTCTCAATGAAAGTTTAAAATAAAATTGAACCTCTAAAAATTCTTGATGATATTGTTTTAGAATAATTATTTTTTCAGCAGCTTAATTATTTATATGTTCGTCGATATACCTATTTTTTTATTTTTGATGGAGTTTTGTTCTTTAAGCTAGATGACTTGGTCGTGGAGCTTTTATCGTTCTTCTGAACAACATGATCAGCACAAACTTCAAAGAACAAAACTCCATCAAAATCATCCACCTGAGCTACAAATCTTCTCCACCACATATTATTTGTTTTATTAAATTAATCATAAACTATGGGAATTAATTAACTTACTGATAGGTAGATTGAATGCATAGTAACATTATTAAAGTTTTATAAATCCATCAAATCACTGTTCATATTTATCTAGAAACATATTGATATAAATCAAAAAACTTGACACTATTTAAATTCTGATCTGTGTTCATAATTGTTTTCGGTAAAGTGATAGCTCATTTTGTTCACTGTGATAATTTTCTTAGTTGATACAGTTTATCTTCCAAGTGGCATTATATTTGTCTTTTGTTGGCCCCTCGTTTGAGTTCAAGTAAAAGTATATGGAGAGAGATAGTAAAAAGAGAGAAAATCTATTTTGAAATACATAATTTCCTAAATTTTTTTACTCGAATCAGTCAATAGAATCAGTGTTTCAATAGCAACCATTTTAAATCGTCACACTGCTTGCATCACTATGAATCAGGCTCCTTAGAGCTCTTATCCTGAATGACTGATTATCAAGGATATCAAAAAATCCAATAAATTCACACATATTTTCCACTATATCATCGTCGATTTTTTTTCTGGTCTTCTTAATAATTGGGGACTAATTCAAGAATTACTAGAGATTTAGTACAACTTGAGCTAAAGTGTACTTGAGTTTGAATCACTCAATGTCTTAACGATTGAGTTTGTTATCGGATTGCTGTTTTAGATTTCCCTAGCTTGTGAAAGGTTATTACAATAACCCTATATAACCATTAAATTCAAATTGAACTAAATATGAGCTTTCATTAATCCGTTTTTCAGTGTTTAATAAGTATATGGTATCTAGCATTTTCGAACTTTTTTCGTTTTGTTTGATTGGTAAGTGTTGTGTATAAGAGTTCACTTTTCATGAGTGATTTTATTTCGAACATCAGAAGTTATCCATATCTGTTCTTTAATGTAGTACATCTCAATACATCGGATGTAAAATACAACTCTTAACCTACTGGACCACTGAGCTGGCATCCAACGGTGTCAATGTCTAACTCCAACCAGTCCATGAAATTGTGCAACCATCTTCCATTATACTGAGGTAGATACCTGTCTCTACCCGACACAAATTAGCTCCACTGATCACGGCTTCTCATCAGAAGTCCGACAATTCCCTCACGAAGCTAGTCATTAGTGAGCGCATGGTAATTATCAGTATAGGGTTGTGGAAATTATTGGTTTTTTTATTATTTTCTGATTGAGATCATGAATCGAATGATATTAGATCACCATTGAAAACTCGTTTTATTTATGCATCTATAGTCATTTATCAGTAGTGTCAATTTACTCAATTATAATATGTAGTAATATATGATTAGATAACTATCAAATAGCAATTGTTTGCTTATCATTACAATAAACTGAAACCATGTTTTACTGATCTCTCATATTCAATTCATTTTAAAATAGAAATTATTCAGGGGCTTTTTTTAAAAGTATTTCTGTTGAAATATGTATAATGGTGAATAGGTAAATTCGATTGCCATTTTAATAAAAACATAATTCCGTATTTTAATAGTATTATATCCCTTAAGCTACATAGTTTAACTGACTATGATGTTATCTAGAATGAAAACGAAAGTTTTACATCAACCTAACTCAAAGTGAACACTGATAATAAAGAATCCATTTATGTTGTAAATCTTTTCTCATTATTTCTTGTACTTTTAGAAAAACTACTGTTATTTTCAAAAGTTTGTATAAATACATGTTTATTAGCAAATCTATGCTTGATATCATGTTTGTCGTTAGACCTGAAGGTTCTGCGTTCAATCTCGTGTATAGAGTTGTCTTTTTACAATATCCTGAAAGTCCTGACAAATTTCTCGATATAAATTTCAGAAGCCCGAAAAAAGTTAAAACACTTTGTTCCATTAATATCGAGTAGTCATGTCTTGGAGACATCTAGTAAAAAAGAGGATTATGTATCATATTTTGATTGGGTAATTACGTATGTCACTATAAAATTACGTGTATTTTCAGATGCGTTTAAAAGGTCAAGGCAACCCACAAACCTATAAATAAATTTGTTTTCTGTATAGAAATTAACCTTAAAGTAAAGATTCTATTATCACTTCTTGACTTTTCTCTACTTTTCAGGCTCAAGAGTATTAGTATGATAATTTACAAAGCGGATAGGAATTCAGCAACAAGCGTTCGCATAGTAGATATGTCAATATAACCTGTCAAACACGATTTGATATTTAGACGTTATTGCAACTCATAATAGTCTGGGGTCTTTGAGTTGATCATGTTTAAATGAACGAAATTCACTGCTCAAGTTTAAGCTGAAGAAAAAAAGATGAATTGCACTGTTTGTTTGGCTTTATTTGCTAACTGTATATAAACTCATGAGACTAAATTATGGGTAGAAACAAAACCGCAGTATTACATCTGTTGCATATCATCTTAACTAATAGACTGAATGCTGAAGATTCCTTGTATAATGATTTAATTAACATCAAATAAACATTGCTTTTCTCTTCAAGGTTAATTTTCTTTTGCCGTTCTCTATCTTTTCTTCCAATCACCGTTTTCTTCTCATTAGTTTACTAATATAAAATTTCAGTTGGGGAACTACCAAAAAACAGGGAGCATCGAATAGCTACATCAGTAGTATGAATTCTCCAAAAGTATGTACCCACTCACCCTTCGGGAGACAAACCCATTACCTTCATATATCAGAGCGAAACCTTTACCACTAAAGTTATTGGGCTCTCATACGGCGGTATAATTGCAACTTAAGACAATTTAATCATCACTTCTGAGTCCCATAGTAATAAGAAACGAGTGTCCAGTTCTCAATAGTTTTCACTGGTACGCCTTCTGAGATCAACTTCCAACAAGTGCAACCTACGAATCAAACCCATCTCTACTGAACCCCTTCATCTTACCAGTCATCTATTAACATTCTTCATCTAACTTTATGTTGAATATATTGTTGGGAGTCCACGAACATCTTATTACAAAGCCTCTAGAGTGATGGAGAGAAGTTTTTATCTAGTCAAGATTGAATAGGGGCTTTTTATAAACATCCATAAAAACGAAAAATAGTGTGCCACGTTTTGATTATATATATATATATATATATATATATATATATATATATATAATGTTTGCAGAATTTAATAGTTGAATTCATGATTCAATTAAAGTTTGACCACCATGGAAAACCTGGAAGCACTGGAACGCTAGAATTGTTTAGGAGGTCAGAGTCACATAAAACCATAAATACACGCGATTTTATTTGCATAATTAACCTTGGATTAAAGCTCTTACTCACCTTTTGGGCCTATTGGCTTTTGTTCTAGTTGAAGTGCAGAAATACATTGAGATTATAGTAAGCGGCTATGAAGTTAGTAATGAGCATTCAGGCGGTAGAACTGTCACGTATAATTCCTCATCAATCGTAAATACTATACTGAACATCGTGAATTTCTTTCCTTTCCTTGTTATTATGCTCATCTGCTACGTTTCGAACCTCAATCTTAACTACATTGACCAAAGTTTTCGTAATATTTTTACTCTTATATGGTTAATAAAGAATCTTGGAATCAACTGATGTATTCATTTCATCCAGCAAGTTTCATTGTTATTGCTTTGATTTTGAAAACAGTTCAATGAGAACCAATATTACTTCATTTGTGGGGAGGTTATCTGTTTTGCTTTATTGTAATTCAAAATGTTCGAGAGAATGAAATACCAAATTGAATAATGCAGAACATAACATAAATGTGCATCGGTTCAAAGATTGTTACATTTTATATTAATTAAAGAGGTTCTGTAGAGATTGGTTTCACTTGTAAGTTGTATGCACCACCAGTTTATCTCAGTTTGAGCAGCATTAAAAACCAGGAAGCTATGTACGACTGTTTAGCTCTAGTATGGAGTTTTTTCAGTAGTGCATACGAATGACCCCACCAAGAGTTAAACCCATGACCTTCATGTTTCTCTGTGATTTATTATATACTGGAATTACCATATCTTTATCCGATGGCAAATTTTCAACTTCAGTTGGTTTGCAATGTAACGCGATGATCATTATCAGGTATCTGACGACGAGTGTTTTACTCTCGACATGTGCGAAATGATTCATTATATAACCAACTCATATAAATAAAATTGAATTAACATCATGACGCAATGTCACTGGTTGATTAACGAGAACTTTATGTAATAGGTTCGGTCTCATTGCTATAGTCGTTCTATCATGACAATGAAAGCTCAATCACACTTTTTTTCTATATACGTTGGAGTAGCCTCTACATACACAAACGAAAAATCAGGATCCTCAAATACAACACGGAGAACATCAATCGAACCAATCACACTTGATGGAGAAACTTTGGAATAGGTGGAATTTTTCACGTACCAGGGAGGCATTGTCGATGAACAAGGAGGATCTGATGCAGTAAAGGCAAGGATTGGCAAAGCAAGTGTCGCATTCCTACAGCCGAACAACATATTGAACTCAAAAAACTATCAAA